GCTGCAAGCTTGCATCCTGTTGCCTCATTCATGTTCCTGGTTGAAATAATTTGGTCAACCACCATGTAAAAATAAGGCAACAGATGACAAGTGAGGCTTCACATGAGCCAGTAATCAGATCTGTGAAGGACAAGTGTGTGTGGGTATGTGCTGGACGCCAAAACTGCAGCAGCAGTGTCACTCATTCTCTCTGCTTTTAATAGCCAAGCTCCTCCCTGAATGAAAGGTCCAGCATGGGATTTATATATACTGGGATTAGCAATAGAAAGTAAACAATGAGGCAAATGTATCATCTGGCCTACATCAAGGTTTTCCACCAAATAAACTGTCTTTGAGTTTATGACATGGATTGAAAATATACTGCAGGAATGTCATTAGATGGACAGGACAGTAAAATAAAATGTGTTTGAGCGTCTATCCAATAAACGCAAAAAATTCAAATCACATTCATATTCCTGCCTGACAATGTGTCCCCCCACATTTTAACAGATGTGTGAAATCAATGTGAAAATATGAAAGTAACTGTTGTAATGCTCTGCTTGTCCAAAACCCAGCTTGTTCTGTTTTTTGAGTGTGTATGTTTCCGCTTGTGGAGGATGTCTACCAGATGTTTTTTGTCCTCCTCCACACCAAACCCAACCCATGAGGACCATCCTGTTAGATCGCCTCCTCAAGTCATCTCCTTTGCACCAGAAACTCTTCTGGATTACCTCCATCCCCACCCAGCTGTACATTTGGATTCCTCTCAAGTACGTGAAGCTGGCTCAGTCCTGCGAAAAAACTCTACTTGGTGGGGTGGTCAGTAACTCAATGACCCAGTTATGCAACCAAGGGCTCGTGAAATTCCTGACAATTTGCTGAGTGCCAGCATAACTCTTCGTAACAGCGTCTGACTTCAAAATGGCACTATTTACGCACATAGCACACACATGTACACGCACACATGCAAAGAAATCAGTGTAACCCCTCTTCTCTTGAGTTAATCTGTGAGACACAGTCTGACCCACATAAAGAAAATCCGTCCAGTTCCCTTGAGTAAGTTTCACATAATTTGACTCCACAGAAGATTAACCTCTTGCCCTGTTTTTTTTTCCAGAAAAGTGTGGGGTAGTTTGCTCAAATAGCTATAGTCTGGGTCAGACAGCTCAGGATAGTTGGTTTGTGCAGGTTAGGCCAGCTGAGGATCATGTAAACAAATCATCTGATTAGATTTCAGTTATTGAATCCTCACTGAGGCTAGACATGAGCTGACATGTGGGAAACTCTGCCCAAGGACTCAGGGGTGTTTGCTGGTGATCCTGTGTCTTTAGGGGAGGTTGCATAACCAGATTAGGGTAGTTGGTTTTAGGTTTGAGGGTCACTGAGGCCTGATTAGCTCTTTAGCTTTACAATCTGAAATCTAAATCGCCTGAAGCAGCTTCCCAAACACAGAGATTCCTGAATGAGCTCCTGTTTTGTGTGAAATTTTGAGGCCACCTGGGAGTGATCCAAGTTGAGCTTTTTAGGCCGTCATGGTCCTTTGATTAGACCACAAAGTCATGGTGGAATGGCTCAAACCATGGTTGTGTGGATGTAATTTTGAAGCTGCTGTTTTACAAGATTGAGAAGTAATAAGCAGCAGAAATAAAGTCTTTGAACAACAGTGTGTCAAAGCTGGTGCAAGCAGGTTAATAAAACACAGGGGAAAGTTGCCAAAGCAAAGCAAAGAAATTAACATAGTAAATAAAGGCTTACAAGATTGTGAGGAAGTCCAGGATAAAATAGCAAAGACAGTCAAAGACAGGGAAACAAATCAATAAGGATTGATTGGCCCCTGTCCACACCGACCCCTATCTACAGGGGCCAGTGGACAGGGAGCTGAAGAGTGGAACTGGGGATCTAAGGGGAGCAGTCCGAGGGCTGGGCAGGGGCATAGCTGGGGATCAGGCGGAGGCAGAAACGACCTTGGGCATGATGCTCTGTGTTTGTGCTGTACTATTAACATGTGTTAGGTCAATGTTGCTTTGGTGGGTAGGGGTTGTGATGGGTCAGTAGTTGCTTCAGTGTGACCCTAATGTTGCACCTACCCCTCAGAATGCATTTTATTAATTTGATAGATTGTTTTATTTTTGATTTGTGTTGTTATGATATGATCTTCAGTTCTATCTTGATATACACTTACTTGATTCAATGATGTAGTAATTTTCCTTATTTTGAGTGGGCACTTAAATGCTCAAAGGGGGAAATTGTGGTGGAAAAATATTATGATCAGCAGTGTTATGCAAATATGTTCTGGTTTATACCATATATGGAGTTATTTTTCTAATAAATGTAAGGAAATGTGGGGTGGAAGAATTGTTGGCAAGAAGTGTGGTGCATCTGTTTCCTTTTTATCCATAAAAAACAAACTTGAGGGAAGAGGAAGTTGCTCTCAGCCAAGCACAGACTGAAGGGTTGTGTGCCCGCTTGTCAAGTGTGACAATAATACACAGAAAGACATGTTCTGGTTTGTGAGTCTTTATTAAACAAGAATTGCCACCACAAGAATGACCAGACTAGTGGAGGATGACCTGGAGACAAATGATGTAGGCAAGGCTTCTCAGAGAATGGCAACTTAGGCGGGATTGCTCTGGAGACCGGCACCATAGGTAGGGCCACTCTGGAGGTCGATGAAGAGACTGGAGGTCAGCCGACACCAGAAGATTCAGCTGTTGGTTGGAGCTGAGAGCAAGACAGGCAAACCACTGGAGTGCTGAGCAGGAGGCGGCCAGCTGGAGATCTAGCTGGGCGTTAGTAAAGACGGCTGACTGATGATCTGGAAGGTTAGGAAGGGTGTCAGCAGGAACTGGAACTTCTAGGGGCTCCGATTCGGAGGAGTCCTGAAGAAAGGGGATTGCTCGAGTCTTCAGGAAATGCTTCCTTCTAGGGGCTCTGACCCCTACATATCTTGGGGCAATAGCTAGGTGAGTTTTGAAGAAAGGTTTTCAGGGTCAGGATCCAATAGGAAGCTGGTCGACTTAGGAGCAGGAAGATGTAGGTGGCTAACTGGCTCAGAGGTAGGATTCTGACTGGAGGCTAGCCAACTGGGATACAGAGTGGAGGATAGCAGGCTTGGAAGCAGGCTGAAGGCTAGCAGGCCGTGAGTGAGCTGACTTAGATGCAGACTGGAAGATAGCAGGCTGACAGCTAGCCAACTTGGAAGCAGGCTGGAGGCTTGTGGACCTCCAGTTAGCCAACTAGGATTCAAGCTGGAGGTTAGTTGACTGGAGCAGGTCAGCAGACACTGGAGCAAGCTGCTGGCTAGCAGGCTGGGAGACTGGCTGGGAATCAGGGGTGCTAATAAAATCCTTTAGCCACCAACGCATGCTTGATATGGGAGCAGCTTCTTTGTACTCCCTACTAGAGCTTCTTTTGAACTCTCCATAAATACCCACAAAGGTATAAACCAAATCTTCAAACAAAACAACTGCTGGGTCCATAGTGGCCAGAACACACCGTCAAAGCCAGTGCAAACAGGGTAACAAAACACAGAATGACTCAAATGCTGGAGCACATGCAGTCCACTGATTTATTTAACAAAGTAAACAAACGCTTACAAGATGATGGCACTCCAGGGTCAGAAAACAGCAAGGCCAGTCCAAAATAGACAAGCAAATCCAGTAAGTGGTGGCAAGAATCCAAAATTCTGGAAACAGGTAAAAAGGGTCGATATGTAGGTAAGAGAGGTGAACACTAAGTCATGACGCATGCATTAACCAAACATTATGTTCTAGCAACTGAAAAGAGGTAACACAACACCATGAATACTCAGGGAACTTTAACTTTAACTAATTAAGTTATGACACACAAATACAACAGAAAATAGCGGAAAAGAAACCCACAAAAACAGGAAGTAAAATGACAGACAAATAAATAAATAAATTTCTAAATTAAACAGGAAGTTCAGAAGGAAGAGCAGATCATGACACTGGACCTGCTACCAGAATTTGGGGCAAAACATGGAGCCTGTGGTAAAAATCCTTGCAGGTGCAGCTTCTTCCAGTGCAGATTTGCATGATAACGTACTGTGCTTTGTTAATAACTTACACTTTTTAACACTCAAGGTCTGTGATAAAAACACTGTCAAATGGCAAAAAGTTTCTTTTTAATAAGCTTACCTCATGTCAGATGTAGTTTGTGTGGACACTAAGCCCTCACTGATTTGCTGGATAGATACATAGAGGCTCCTGCAGTGCCACCTACTGGTCAGTCATATTTTAAAGAACCAATCAAACTTATAGGTTAGGTCAGTTCATTCAATAATCATTTAAAAATACATTAAGCTATGCTAAAGAAAAGATAGATTTGTTTGTGTTTACAGTTTACAACATTTGAAGAATTTGCAGGGTGTGAATGGGAAGGGTTTTAATTGTGTCAAGTTTTTTGTCTCAATTGGACAGATTTGGTCATTGTGTAATACAGTTGGACCACAGACTCAGATGACCATCGGACTTCAGGAATGAAGACATGATGCCAAAACTCTGGTTTTCAGTACTTAGTATCACAGCTTTGGTTTTGGGCCCTCCTGTTATTTTTAGAATCCCTTAAAAACATGATATTTTTTAAAAATCCTTTGGAGCATTTGAGGTCAGTTTGACAGGGGTCACAAAAGGTCAGTAACCATTTTTGATTGTTTTTAATGATACTATAAACAGATTATCCTCTTTGTAGTTTGCATACAGCTGCCAGAAAAACAAGACATCAAGATGATTTTCTGAGGTCATAGCTTTCTTTTTAGCCTCTTTTAGCGAATTGTTTTGGTTTTATGCCCAAACATTAAACTGGTCCAACTGGTGTTGTTTCTTTCCCACCAAGAGAAAAAAAGAAACAACGATGCATCTTTAAATACTCTAATACAAATTCAGTTAATGCTTCCTATTCCAGTTTGTACTTGGTTAACTTCTGTATCCATCAAATCTGAGCTAAACATACAAAACAACTCACAGATTTACCATCATTCAAATTATGTCACTGAAAAGGAATAATGACAAAGACAGTGTTTATTCTCTTGATGTTGACAGCAGTGTTATTGTACACATTCCTGTTAGATGTTAATGAGTAATGATTTCCCATCAGAGCAAAGGTCATGTCAACAATGAAGAGGAACGAATGTTAAACCTCTTGGCCCGTATTTATCAATCTGCTAACAGTGAAATTTTGTTCTCAAGTGAAAGATGATAATACTTCCCTTTTACTCCCACTCACGAACTTATTAACATTCTTACTACTTAAAAGTAGTCTTAAAGTAAAGAGAGCTCTGCAGGCCTTCAAAGTTTGTTCAAAGTAGATCCTAGATGATTACGATAAAGAAAAAAAAAGTGAGCACACACCATCTGAGATGTGTTACTGTGCAATATAATATACATGTAATATCATTGGTCATGATGAATTATGTTAGGGGAAGCAATATCTACAATTTAAAGTTGAGTAGTTTTAGCCTACTATTTGCACTTTTTCTTTCTATTTGCATTTATCAGGGAGGAAAACAACACAAATAAAGCTGGTACTGGTTTACGTTTGTTATTACGTCTCATGCATCTTCATCATCTGCACCTGTCAGTTTGTTACTAAATTGTTCTTATGATTTTTAATGACAGAAACAAGCTGCAGAATTTGTTTCCCGCTCAAGTTTTTTAAATATTTCAGCCATTTTTAAAGGACAAAGATTTCACAGACACATATTTTAGTTTTTTAAAAAATAACAGCATTTTTCTAAGTAAAAGGATTTTTAAGAAGAATGAATGTATGAATATGGCAGATGTTGGGTAAATTGCTGTTTCCGATTGGCTATTCCTGCTCTGAGCATACACGTTAATAGTCATGTGATCACTTAAGAGTTGCTCCTAAATGTTGGTAAGTCACTTGATAAACGTGTCTTAGTGCTCACACTCAGCAGAGTTGGCTCTTTGGAACATTTTTAAGTGTAAATCAAAAAGTTTGATAAATATGAGCCCCACCAGATGAAAAAAAAAACTAAATTAATATTTCTGAGCGTGAGTCCCTAAGTGGTATTTTAGGTGTGTGCTCTGTAGAAACCCCTTGCCGCAGACATTACAGCGGTGTGGTCTCTCTCCTGTGTGGCTTCTCATGTGCTTCCTCAGATGTCCGCTGTGGGTGAAACTTTTACAACAGTAAGAGCAGCAGAAAGGCTTCTCGCCGGTGTGAATCCTCATATGTATCTTTAAATCACCTTTGCGGCTGCACTCTTTCCCACAAACGTGGCAGCGATGCAGTTTCACCCCGGTGTGGCTGGTCATGTGTTCGGTCAGAGCGGTGGTGCTGCTGCAGTGTTTCCCGCACACGTGACAACACCTCGAGCCCTTGTGTGATTTAAGGTGCACATTGAGACTTTCGGTGGACTCTAAGGTCTTTCCACACACAGCACACTGGAAACCCGCGTCCTTTAAATGCATGCGAAAAGCGTGATTGATCAAGTGATGACTGAGGGAAAAAGATTTCTCGCACAGATAGCAATGATAGTCAGGTGCGACTGAATTCAGATGAGATAACTCAGTGGACTCTCTGGGGCTGATAATGGAAGTCTGGTTTTGTTCTGTCTGAGTTCGGTTTGACATAAAACTTGCAGCAGGTCTTTCATTTTCTCGACCATCTTGGATCTGAGTTTGTGAAGAAGGGGACGAAGCGAAATGTAGCATGAACGCTACAGTTTTAGTTTCTTGCAGCTCCTGAAACTGCTCCTCGCTTTCACTGTTTTGAGTCTGAGGTTGCAAAGACGGTTTTGAGTCCTGCTGGTCGTGTTTCTCCCAGACAGATGACTGAGGTAGGTATAAGACATTAGCATTCTTAAACTCTTGAACCTCTTCTTGTTGCTGACTGGCCCAGAGCTCCTGATCTTCCTCTTTAATGCGTGGAGGCTCCCGGTCCGTCTGATCGGCGCTGAGGCTCGGCTCCCGCTCACAGTGCTGCTGCTCGGGGGGAGTTTCCTCCTTAAAGATGGACGACTGTGAGAGGTCTAGAAACAAAGATGGGAGAACTTATAACAAATGCCTCTTTCATTTTCTTAAGTCTTTATCAATTTTATCACAAAAGTAGTGACTGAATTTTGGATGCTGCCAGACAGAAGATGACCATGATAACAATATGTCGATTACGACTGCAACTACTATTTCTTTCATTCATCAAAATTAAATTGACAAATAGTTTGCTGTCAGTTAGTTCATGAAAGTTTCAATGTTCAGTTTTTATTCAAACGGTGTTAAAGAGATGTGGATTCAACTGTAGGATGATTTTGGAGGCTGTTGAACTGTATTGCATTATGTTGACAGGCATCCTTATTATTTTGTCCATTTAGTTTTAGCTAGATGTTCCTAATAAAGAAATGAGTGTTTACATATTTCATTCAATGTGTCATGATGACATTATATGGAAATAAAATACAGAAAGTATTGCTCTGCTTTTGATCCCACGAGTCTCAAAGGCAAAAGAAAAGTGTCTCTGAGGGGGGTGCTGTAAGTGACTGAATAAAAACAGCCCCCCCCCCCCCCCCCCCCCCCCCCCCCCCTCCGGGACAATGACAGGTGTAAATAATAACTGTGATAATAATAATAATGATGATGATGATGATACACAGACCTTCTTTGTGCTTTGACACAAACTCCAGCAGCAGACCTCTAAGCCGTTCAATCTCCTGTTTGGAGGTGGAAGCTTCTTCTTCATATTTCTCTATTGTTTTCTCAAAAACCTGAAATATTTCCTCGGCTGCAGCTGTCAGTCGCTCCTTGACGAAAGCCCTGAGAAGCAGCGGGGCAGACATTTTGGATATCACTGTTATGTGGATGTGAATGACCCCAACAGGAGGTTTTAAGGAGCCACTTCTCTGTGGTGCTAGCGGGCGAGCTCATGGACAAGCTACGGAAGAAGCAGTCACTCCACAGGGCGCATGTCAGACATCTGCTGCCTCCTGCAGGAGCTCAGTGGCTATACAGGTACAGATTTGAGGTAGTTGAGTTTTTTTTTTTCTTCATGCAATTATTTCATTTTCTGACAAAAATGTTGTACTTTTTTATTTAATTACATTCATCTGAGAGCCAAGAGCTTATATAGTGTGATGGCTTATTGTAGACTAATCAACAGATTAAGAATAGAGATTAAAAAAATGGTCAATTGGCAGAAAATGAAAACTAAACTACTAATACTACTAATTGTTTGAAGTAAGTTTTCATGTAAAAATACCATTTCATAGCTCCAGTTATTAAATGTGAAAGTTATTTGAACTGTTGGTTGGAAAAAAACAAGTTTTGTGAAGGTGTCATCTCGGGCTCTGGGTAGTTGTGACAGCATTTCACACTGTTTTCAAAAAGTTTTTACAAACCCATTATCATTTATTTATGAATAAGAAAAAAATATCAATGAAAGTATTCATTAGTTGCAGTCCTAAACAGAATAGTTCAAATTAGCTCCACCTCAACCAACTACAACAGTAAAATGCTACTTTCACATTAATGCACAAGTACTAATAATACAATGATATAATACATAACAGTATAATACCCAGGGTCATTTTTCTGCTTTGAGTGCTTTTCATATTTATACACCAAGATCGAATTACTCCCTCCACCACTATGTAGGCCCACAGTGTTTTTTAGGAGAGCAGTCAAAATGAAACCGGGAAATCTGGGGCAAAGAACAGATCACAGTTGTCAGACAACAACAAATAACACAAGTTCACAATCAAACAATAAGAAAAGTGACACAGACAGTTGGCAGGCCTGACGAACAACCTGAGCAAACAGTAAAGGGATTTACGGGACGGGGGGAACAAATAAAACAGTGATGCAAAACAAACAGTAAATACCCATACTCCTGTTTCCTTTGACAATTCTGTGAAGAACAGCTGAGCTGTAAAGGTTCAGCGCACTGTTGGTCTGTTGCCTGGATAAACACAGACACAGGTAAACAGGTAGATTTTCACCCAAGCTCTCACATGAAATCAGTGTTGCTTAAATATTGTATGACCTTAACCTTGACTTAGAGCACTCCTCAGCACACACATAGAGATGTTAGATAGATTTATCTGATCAAACCAAACTGGTGTGAAAAGTCTGTAAGACTGATGTCAATGCGTTAATAAAAGGCCCTTTTAATATTGGCCCGAGTCGTGACCTGTGCCCACTGCTCCCTGCACTCGCTCCTGTCCACCCACTCGACCATCTGTCCCACGCTGAGCTCAAAGGAGATGAAAGGGCAGTCGTGATGTGAGCTGTACCTGGCACAGTGCATCTCCAACTGCAGGAGGTACATGAAGGCACAAACAAGACGGACACGTCTGCAAAAAATAAGGAAAAAATTATGTTGACTGAGAATCAATGGATCGTCAAGCATTTAGCTTCTCCTGTTTAGACAAACAACATTTCGTATTCTCCACACCGAAAATCTGTGGTTTCTATTGTTTTATGTTTCATGCCAATGTTAAGGAAAGAGTGAAACCATGTCAAACTGGTTCAAGTGTAGATGCAACACATTTTGAAATAATGCTCTGCAATGTAAGCAAAAGGGCACTTGCATGCATTGTTGATTACCACCAGAGGGAGCCAAATAATTTAAAAAGAGCTTTAATAAGTGTGTTTGTTTAAATCAAATGCCTGCTGCCCACTGAGGGAAAAGTCTATTGCATGTTCAATAATATAAAAATAATAAAAAAAATTTAAACTGTGGTTTATGTTTGATGCAAGTGTTTGAAAATGTCAACCTTGACTACTTCAAATACTTTAATAAATATTGTCTTACCTTTACATATTTAGAGTTATTTGTTGCCTTTTCTTGTTTTATTGCTCAATGTGGTTTTGAATTGTTGTTACCTCCAATTTGAAAATGAACTGAATCTATGAACAGGTTAATTACCAGTGGCAGACTGTAACTAAGTACATTTACTCAAGTACAATTTTGAGGTACTTGAATGCTTTATACTCCTACTGCACTAGTGAAATACTTTTAAGTCCATTACATTTATTTCACAGAGATTCTTTTGAATCATGACTTCACATGTAAAACCTTTGATCAGTTTATAAAATAAAACGTATTATAGATTAAACTACCAACAGAATGAAGAGTTGTTGAAATTAATCGGCTGGCAGAAAGTTAATTGAAACAATTCAAATAATTGCTTAATCATCTAAGTCCAGTTTAGATTTAAATTCAAGTAAAAATGCTCAAAAGACAAAAGCTTCTCAAATGTTAATATTTGCCAGTTTCTCAGTTTTCTATGACAATGAACTCAAAATCTTTGTGTTTTTGACTGTTGGTCAGACAGAAAAAGCAATTTGAGTATGTGCACTTGGGCTTGCAGGAGTATAATGATGGGCATTTATCACATATTTCAGACATACATATTGTATATATACTCCTGGAGGTTTCCCATGTGTACAGAAAAAAGCAATGAAAGATTTGAAACTAGATAGAACACTATTTAACAACAAATCAGCATGATATAAATCAAATATATAATAAACTGTATAAACTAAATCAATAAATAGACTTATTCAAGCTAGATGGCCCGTCATAGCTGATATTGTACCTCAGTGGTGCAAATTTATTAAAAAAATAAAGAAAGAAAGAAAGAAAGAAAGAAAGAAAGAAAGAAAGAAAGAAAGAAAGAAAGAAAGAAAGATTTGTTTAATCAAATGATGTAGACACAAATGATTTGGAGTAAACTTGAGACTTTTGGGGGCCCTGGATGTCAAACTGGATGTTACAGTCATTGGCTGTAGCACTCCTCCACAGTGGTGGGAGTGTCTTCAGAGATCGTAGAAGCGACCAAGATGATTCACCTGCTATCTGATTCCAGAAACCTATCGGCTGCACAAAATTACAGTATTGATTACACATGTGGTGAATTTATCATTTTATCTCATTCTAATTAAGGCTGAAAGTGACTTACATGACTGAGGTGTAAAGCTGCAGGTGCTCAGGTCTTTCAGGGGTTTTTTTCTGTTCATATTTGGGGACAATAATATTAGACACTTGTACGCATGTGCGAGGTACTTCCTCGCGTCTAACGTTGCCTTGGAGTAAGCGCCTTCAGTGACTCTGAAGTCTGTTTACCATTCGACAGTTAAAGGGAACGTTAAGAGAAACTTGAATTACAACAGAGAGACCGATTCTCTGTTTTATGATCCACTTATTGTTGTGACAGGGTGTTAGACATCCTAATTAAAACCTAATTACTGTTTGAAACCCACCTTTAGATTTGTGAAACTTTTATTTTATTTATGAAAGTACTGCAACAGCGGCTTTCACTGTGTGTTCTCCATCCACACCACTAGAATAAAGATATCACAAATCTAAATAGTGTTTTAAACAGTTCTTAGCCATTCTGTGTTAATCTAGTCTAGGTTTGACAAATCTATGTGTAGTGGTTTTTGATCTGGTACAGCCTGAATGGGGAAAATTGTTTATTTTCACAAATAAAATGGAAAAAACTGTGTTTCAAACAGTGTTTATCATTTCTGGATTAATCTTGGCCAGGTTGTTTTTGTTCTAGACCTGGTCCAATGTGGTCTGGACTAGGGGAAACTGTGAAATTGCCCTTTTTGTGTTTCCACTAATAAAATAATGACACACACTCACACTTGCTGGGATGTGTGACACCCTTTCACAACAAGAAGTGGAAGAACCAGAAACGGAAGAACCGGTCGCTCTGTGTTGTCATTTGTTTCCCTTAACTGTCGAACCATAAGCCAACTTCAGCGCCCTCAGTCCTCTCAGCTGTCGTTGGTGCAGCAGCGCAGCACCGTGCGAAAGGGCGCACAAGTGTAGTCAGTCAGGGACCCAGCTGAAATGTCGGAAAGTGGGAGTCAGGAAGCCGCCGGGGCCCCGAACGGCAGCGGCAGCCCAACGAAACGGGCACCTCGACCGGACGTCGGCAACAAAGTGACCGTGGTGCTCGGTGCTCAATGGGGCGACGAGGGAAAAGGAAAAGTTGTGGATCTGCTGGCACAAGACGCGGATATGGTGTGCAGATGTCAGGTTGGTTAGCACTCGTGCTGCGTTCACTTGTTATGCGTCCGTCCCCGGTTAAGCTAGTTACCGGAAATCCTGCAGGTAACGTCCAGCGAAAAACGCCGCGTCACCCCGGTGTGAAGTTAGGTGTTAGACCCAGATAGCTAATGACAAGTCTGCTAGCTAACCAAAATCTACAGTCGGTGTGTTGTTCCCAGTGTTTTGCTAATGTCACCTTGAATTCCTGCTAGCTGCTTAGCTCTTCACACCTAAAAAACTGCGTTGAATCGTCTCCTGTCGTGTGCACATGACAAGGTAACTGAAGGTACCTTTTTCTAACTGAAGTGACCAGGTGCATCACTTCAGACCCGGCTTCTCTGGCCACCATTAGCGCGTTAAATCAGTTAACCTCGCTAGCAAAAAGATGGACTCGACCAATGTTGGCAGCAGGTTGGCTTTTTATTCACTGTGGCTGAGCTGTTCCTTACATGATAAGTTTAATTAATCACTGTCATATTGATATTATCCTGTACCATCTGGGTTTGTGGTTATTGCAGTACCCAGAGGCTGCATTAGCTCCAGCGCAGGTTGCCACCGCTGATAAGGCACCGTTTATTTAAGGGTTTATAAACCGCAATTAATGGTTGATAATCTCTTTACGAAAGCTTTTTATTTTTGATACAACTTGGCAACCCAGAAGTTATTCTCATTCATGGCTTATAACTGGTTTATAAAGCATTAAAAAAATCCCGTTCTGTTATTTGAATAGGCTCTCTTGCATCACTTTTGTGCTGAAAGAGGATTTTGCACAACCTGGCAACCCAACAGTTCCTCTGGCTTATAACTCATCTATAAAGTATTAGTAAAAGCTGTTTTAACCATTAAAAATCCATTAATTACAGCATATAAAGCTTTAATAAATTGTGCCTTATCAGAGTGGGAT